TGTGCAGGAGCAAATTTCAAAGTTGGAAGCGTTGCAATCTGTGAGGAGAGCAGAATCTAAAATGACATGGACAAGCTGTGGAGTGGGCAGGAAGGAGGCAAATGAAAGTGAATGCAGAGAAGTGAGGTGATGCGTTTTGGTATATGGATGGACAATATAAAATAGGGGGTACAACACTTAGGGTAGTGCAGAGGCAGCTGGGCATTTAAGTACATTCAGTGACCTCTGTCTTGGCCTTTTATATTCAGAAAGAATTGATTATTTATCATAATAGGGTACAGTAAATTGCTGAAACAGTGCAAATATCAGTGTTTGATCATGGAAAATGGTTTGGCAAAGTCCTTTTTTGTTTCTGTGTCAAAGTTCCTTCTGCAGTTTGCTGAAGCCAGCTAAATTGGCCCCAGGTTTAAAATACAGTGACTTCCAATACTTCCATCCACTTACTTCTCTATGGAAATCTTTAACACCTTTGAGTCTCCCATTAGCTTACAATTTCCTAGATTAAACAGAGCCATAGTTTGTTTCACCCAGGTACTTCTTTTGGATTTGTATCACTTTTTTTTTCCAATTACATGGTCACTTATGAGTCTCTACAATCAAACTTTTGTGTTGGGTCAGTAGATATGTAAATCCACAGAATTGTAGAATTGTTATGGTGTCAAAGGAGGTGGCTCTGATCATCGTGGCTGCATCAGCTCTCTAATGAGCATTATGACTTGGGACCTTTGCCTGCCTTTTCCACATAACTTTGAACATTGATTATTTGAATAGAGACATTCATTGCTGACTTGCCTTCTTCAATTAACTCTGCCTCCACCTAACTTCCAGACAATGCATTTCAAACCTGAAACATTCATTGTGAGAAAATATTTTTTCTCACGTTGCATTTGCTGTGCTAGCAAAACATTTTATATCTGTGCCATCTCCTCGATCCTGTTATAATCAAGAATAGTTTTTATCTGTTCTGTCTAGATTTCTCAAGATGTGGAAAACTTCAGTCAGATTTCCTCTTGGCCATCCTTCTTTCCAAGGAGAATAGTCCCACCCTCTCCAATCTAATGTTCATAACTGAAGTTTCTCATTCTTGGAACTATTTTTTTAAGTGGCACAAGTGTCTTGTGTAAGTTCAGCACACCCTCCTTGCTATTGAACTTTATGCCCCTATTAATAAAGCCCAGGATACTATATACGTAATTCACCGCTCCTAATTACTTTACTGTGAATTGCAGCTACAATGGACAAGGTCACTCAACAACTAATTACATCATCATGATCACTCAAACACCTGCCTACTTGAAACAAATTCTCAAAAAGGCATAAAACCTGTCGGTTTTAAGCCATCAGAAGAAGAAATATGATATCTGATCTGCAAACAGACACAGGAAAAGTAGTTTGACTTGTCACCAACTCCATGGAACCTGCTTCACTGACAGAACACTGAACCGAGCAGGTGTACCTGATCATTAAATAAATGTTGTATATTGCAAAGATGCTTTATATTTAATATCATTTGGAGTACTTAAGTTTTGAAAGAATGTGGAAAATGCATTTATTTCAAGTCTGTGGAAATAACTAGAGTAGTTTCTTTAAAACAGATCATTGAAAGTTCATGGACATTGGAGTTGTTTTTTAAAACAAAAGGCATCCTGTAAATCATGACTGGTGATAACTACTTGCTTTGCTGTATGCTGGTGCTGTTTTGAAAGGTAAGTGGCAATGGAGAGGTTCTTGTTTTATCTGGTTCATTTGAAGGAAAAATTGCCAAAAACAAGTGGGTTGGAGGAAAGCCTACTAAAACATGCTGCCTAGCTGATCATCTTCTCCCATTTCTGAGAAGCAAATTCTGAGTTCAGGGTGAAACCTATTTGTTCTTTTGAAAGAGTGATTAAAAGATTATATCTCCTCAGCAAGCTGTGCTTGCTTCAAGACTTCAGAGGCAATGACGTTGGCTTAGTGACTTGGCCATATGTGGCAAAACATCAGAGCAACAGATACCAGAATATCCTACATTTTATCTTCAAGAAGAACCCATTGATCAAAGTGTTTTTAATTTTTAAAAAGCCAATGTCTGCAGCTAAACCCTTTTTACTCTCTTCTAGAACAGTGACAAGTGTCTGTGTCTTTGCTGTGTTTTTCGCGATATCTAGAAGAATAAGCATTTAACTTCTATATTACCAACTATCTATGTTGTTCAATAGAGATGCAATAATTAGTTAAGTTTTGTTCTGAAATAAACTCAATTGTGTTTATTAAAAAAAAATCTTCGTGATGGATCTTTCTGTTTAAAACCTGACATAGTCAAGGTATTCCATTGGTTGTCTCAGTAACTGTGTAAAGTATTTTTGTTTTATGTTGTAGCCAATGAGGTACTGGAAGAAGAGTGCTCTCCTCTCGCCTTGCTCCTAAAACACAAGTGGGAGTTTGCAGCTAGATACCCAACGAAGACATTATTAGTATAATACTTCAATTAAAATAACTGAAAAAAAGGATAAAAGGAAATACACCAGGTTTCTTGTGCATAACTATATAAAAATAACTTTGGAAGTTGCCAACACCTTTATGGGTAGGGAAAGTTTGCATCGAATGATTTGCAAAGAAAAACCAAGATTAGGCTAATTGGCTGAGAAGTTTGAGGTAAAGTTAAAAGCAGATATGAAGAAAGCTAACAAAATTGAGATAATAGCACAAGTTTTTATTTTATGTTGTGACCTTTGGAGTAATTGGACTAGAAGGACAGTGTCTGCCTCTGGTTTTGGTAATAACATACATTTTTATTCAATAAAGAGCACTGAAATCAGATCTGAATCCAAATACTGGTGTTGGCATCACATCTTGCAATTGTAGTGCTTAGAAATTAGGAACAGGAGTAGGCCATTCATTCCATCAAGCCTGCCCCACCATTCATTAAAGTGTTTTGATCAGCCATGATTGTAATGTCTTTACTTCCAGCATCCCCTAAACCCTGTATGCCACTGGTAATTAGAAATACATTGAAATCTATCTTAAACATACTCAAAGACTGAGCTGCCTCACCCTCTGTGGTAGAGAATTCAAAATTTAAAAAGGGTGAATTAGCAAGCCATACAAAGATATGTAATTAAGGGGATACAGCTACACATCAGGGATATGTGATCTAAGGCGATACCAATATTCTCCTTGCTGACAGAATAATTTAGATTTTGAAATAACAGGCCAAGTCACAATTTTAACATGGTAATTAGCTCTCTCTCTACCAATCCTACAGTTTTTAAGTTCTCTGGTAATGGATTATATTTGCAAGGTGTCATAATTGCCATCCTCCGTTGTCCTGTGGTGGTGACAGGTCTTCACTTAAGTCCTACAGTCTTTGTAACAATGCTACTCCAATAATGCTGTATCGGTACAGCACCTTAACCACCATAAACATATTTTTTTAAAAGCAGCTTAATGATTTAAACAATTTGGCTCTATCATCTTTAGCAAAGTTATTGTTCCAGTACACAGACAAATCTTCGAAAGTTGCAAATGACGGCATTTCACAACTTCAACAACATAGAATATTATACTGATGACAGTAAAGAAATGTACACTGTGTTCTCATCCATATCATCCTGAAGGTTCTTTGTTTTTATCCAAGGCCACTTGACCCATCAAATAGAACCCTCTTTGGTTAACATCCAAATGTTTCTGGAGTGTGAAGAGTTGCTTCAGCCCAATACTATAGTGACAAGATTGTTTCTTCTTGGTGGTAAGATGGTAGTGAATGGTTAAAAAATGAGATCTTAAAAATTATTCAGACAATTAGAAAGAAGTTCTTTTACACAGATGCTAGAATGTGAATGACCTCTCATAAACTTTCCTGCAGGGTGCACACATTCTCTTTTAAAAGAAAGTTAGTTAGTTGCTTATAAAGAGGAATATTAAAAGTATGAAGAAAAACAGCAACACAGATTTGATGGGTTAACTTGACTTTCTGCTCTGTAAAATGATGTGACATGACTGTACAGTCAGTACACTTTTCGTTTATAAAGACTAACCAATTCTGGCCAATCAAGAGAGCAAAATAATTCTTTTCAGAATTTGAGCTTTTGTGTTAAATGTTGAAGAAAAGTGAAGCACTTGGCTTTGAAGAGGATATTAAGTTTCTTGGTTACAACTTTTTAGTAATTTAAAAATTCTATATGGATTAGAAATTTTTCACATTCCAAAGCCAGGCTAGACCCATAGTGTATGGCATCTGAAAGAATTACAAGTTTAGGGGAAAAAAAACTGCAATATTTAAAGTTATGATTTGATGACACAGAGTTTGGGTTGCAGGGGCAATGACATTATAGGAATGAAGCATGATCACGAGGAGTAATAATTTGCACAATTTTCTAGAATTCTACCGAACGTTGGACTGTCACCACATTATGTGGCCAACTTCAGAGAGAAGTTCTACAAGACAAACGAGGAACAGCGGACTAATGCATGTCTTCAAGTATCATCCATAGCTAGGAAACAATTTAAAAGTGTAGTGATGCCAGATTGAGAGTTAATTACCCTGTAATCTTAACACATTCTTCAATGCATGTGGTGGGTAAAGATCTCTGTTTCTGAGCCTAAGACCATACTTAACCAAACGTTGGCTAAATAACGTCCTTCACTTTTTGCTGCATTCAATTGTAGAATTGGACTGTAAACTTGTGCATTCGAAAATGAACATTTCAATGTAAAGATCAATTCTGCAAACAAAGGAATCGGGGCTTTTGATTAAGGATCACTCAATTGTTGACTGGCCAGTTTTAAGATTTTTGCATCAGCACCTTTAAAAGCTGAAGCGAAACCTCAAATGGTATTGAAAAACCTTCAATTTAAAACAATATGAAACTGAGGCCCGAGTCACTGCAATAATTCAACTTGTCTAGTCAACTCAACTGTTGATTTCAGAAGAGCTAGTCGTTATGTTGACAGTAGTCAAAGCTGAGCAGCGGCGTAAAAATTGGAGCGGTGCCCAGCTCGCATCGGACGAACAACCTCACCTGAGCGTCTTCGTCAACTGCCACCGAGCCGGCAAGGTGAAGAAGGCAGCAGCCATCCAAAACGGTTCCCCCAATCCTAGGCCGTAGTGTCAAACAAGCATTGACAGTCAGACCACTTGGACTTTTGCCCTCGCCACGCCCCCTTTCCGTTCAGCCGAACTTGACGGATCATCCAAAACCCGCCCCCTCGCTGCCGCTTGTCGCCGCGCGCTCGCGCCCGCCCAGTCGCCAACGTCAAATAGCTCTCGGGGCACGCGCCGGCTCCAAAGCGGTGGCGGCCCAGGTCCGGACGGAGCTCTCTGACGTCACAACGCCCCGCCTGAGTCCCTATGTAGCAAGTTAGGTTGATCTTTTTCTAATGACAGATCTATAACAGAGCTCGCTCTTTAACCGTTTCCCCCCCAACCCCGCCTCGCTAGCTCGCTCGCACACCCCCAAGCCCGACGAGTACAAGTACGAGCACGCTCGCGAGGGAGTGCGCGACAGTGAGGGAGGAAAGAAAGTACAACTTCCGCTCTCCCTCATGGACCAGCGCGAGCTCCCTGCTGCGCAGAGCGAGCTGCGCACTGGCAGTTCTCCCCCCTGCTCTCTCCTCCCTCCCGGAGTTAAAAGGAGGCCAGGCATCCAGACCACAGGGGGTTGGAAAGTGATTCTTTCTTACTTGATTCGAGCTATTTGGTAGTACGATTATGGCATCGGAGGAACTATATGAGGTATGGGGAGAGGGGGAAAAATTAGGTGTGATTTAATGGGGTTTCCGACTCTTACTTACTCATCAGCCTCTTTAACCCCTTTCAACCCTTTCCTAACATCCCCACTTCTTCTCTCCCGCTTCCTCCTTTGAACCCGGAGTGATATGGCGATCCAAGTCTCCAGCTTTTGCTGGAGTGAGTATACCCGGTATATGGGTGCGCACGCGTCCGGAGGTGGAGGAGGGAAGGAGGGAGAAATGGTTGAGGAGGGGAGGGAGGTAGGGGTGGAAGTGGGTTGAAGACAGAGTTGTTTGAAATCATCTTTTGAAGGGAGACTTGACTTTTGGTCTACACAGTGTTGGCGATTGGCCTCCCCAGCCGTGTTATGTGTAAGGCACTAGACTATGTGGCTAAGTGTAAGAGAGACGGGGTCCAACTATTTACTGCTGGCTTATATGCTCTCACAACTAGTGCCGTCCTCAGCTATGTCGCAACGCACTATAAACGAAGACAAGGATCCCAAAACTCGGGTTTCACCTTTTTTCCTTTTGAAGGGTAGAGGCAGTCTTATTTTATTTAAATGTTGACTTTATGTACTTCTCAACCACTCCAGGTTTATATTGGATGAAGTAGGTATTTGTTGATTGCAATTTGTTTTATCTCTTATGGGTGGTTGGTTGCCTTTACAGATTTCATCAACGTTCCAAAACCTAATAGCAAGGTAGTTTTTTTAGGGTTTCTTTTTGTAACATAGTTCAAGTGGGTGTTTTTGGGGCTTAGGAGTTCAGTGAGTAATATAATGTACAAGCTACACTTGTTGAGATGGCTCTCCTTGTCTAGTTTGCAACGTGGATCAGTCCAGGTTCATCTAGTCTTTTTTGGGGTTTGTATCTTTCAAACTTCCATGTCTACTTTTTTTCTCTCCCTTCCCTGTTTGCAAAATTCTCTATGGTATGAGAAAACTTGCCAATCAAGTATTGTGCAGGCCAAAACCTGAGCTTGAAAATTATTTAGAGTGATAAGTTCTTGCAAGGAAAGAGTTCAGCCCCTACATTTTAGAAGCTGTCTAGATCTTCAGATGTTTGACAAGCAGTCCTTGATCAGATTTTTATTTGTCAGTGAGCCTAGGAAAAATGACAATAAGCTCAAGCCTTGAGGTACAGGGTAACAACTGAGCTTTATATGTATTGAGTCTGCATTTTGGTGCATTTGGAGGAAAAAAGAGTTTTTTTTTAAAATCTATATTTATCCGCATTGTGAGTAGGATCTGTAAGATGTTGAAAGCTTTGGTGGCTGAAGTGTATTAAATAGTAATTTTGACAGTTGAAAGGTTGTCTACTCTTCCATTCTATGTTTTGATGACAGATGGCTGAGGTTTGGAGGGGAGCTTCAGTATGACTGTGAAAGCTAAAGTTTCAAATACTCTAACAAGTGAACTTCATTACTATGAGGATAGCTTGGAAACACTTGCATAGGTGGTTATTTTACTGTACCTAATTGTGATTTCTTTACATAAAGAATGACAGAAGTAAATGGAGCAAGGGCTTGGATAGATTGAATAATCAATTCATGACTTGACATAACTACTTCACTGGCAGTGATCTGATTTGTTTTGTTTCTCTTGAAAGAAAAGTTGTGATTATTAGCCAATTTTGATGCTTCACACTTCCTTGTTCAAAACTCAAATTGTTTGGATTTTGAACTGTTAAGGAAATTATTTTTGAAACTGTAAGTATGCAATACAATAACCTATTTAAGGTAGTATTTAGAAGGTTGGGAGCATTTTAGTTTAATAACGACTTTTTCATCTAACTTTCATAAGTTTCAAGAACAGAAGGAACAATGGATTACTTTCTTGCACTTTCTTTTTGTCAAAGCAAAGTATGAGCTTCCAATGTGAATAGTTCAAATGGTCCATATGTTTATCAGAAGTTGATTTTGATTGTTCCAGAAATATTGCAAAAAGCTGTATTTTTATTGGACCAATCTTAGTCAATTACCTTTTTTTCTTTGACTGGAGTTCTTGCAATGTTAAAATGTTTTACAGTTTTTTTGGTGTAACCCATCAAAATGGTCAGTGGCTATACTGATAAGTTGCAGAGTAACTTCTAATTGTAATTGAATCAAGTTGTTTGTTTTTTGGTAAACATACTACCAGTGCCAGATTATTAGTAATTCATTAATTTTAGTGGCAAATATATTGATAATGAACAAAGTCCTGTGTAAATACTGGCTGAAGAGACAAAATTACCAAATGCAGAATTCAACGTTGCCAATGTTATCTTGGTCAAGTTCAACTGTTAAGTCCACCAGGGTTATTAATACTGCTTGAGATGTGCATCATTAAAATTCAGATTTTTTTTTTTTTAAATTCCCCCTGCTGTGTCCAAGACACGTTTGTTGGATTTTCACTTGGGTTCCAAAGAGCTTTTTTTAATATACAATTAAAATAGTGTATTAACAATATTTTGTATATTAACTGAAAAATGACACATGAATATATTGCCAGGATATATTGAATTAATCTGATTTCTAATCCTCTGATTTTTATGTACACATTCAAATGTTAGGGGTTTGGATGGCTTTGTTTATTACAAGTCGTCAGTTTCAGCAGTAATCAGTGCAGTATAGTACAAAAGTTTTCTTGTTGGGTTGCATCAAGTTCTTTGGAAATCATTTCATAATTGATTCCATCATTGTGCAACTGAAAGGTATGTGCAGGTGGTGATATTTGGGTTCAGTTCAGATGCATTGTTTTGCTCTCATTATAAATGCAATTTGAGTGCCGTCCTTCTGTTGAGTTTTGCAAAACTGTTTTGTTAACCTTGTAATGAAGTTGTACTTATTTTTTTTCTCCAGTGAGATGACTATAGTCTATATTCACTGAGCTGTAACATTGGTTGTACTCAATTACATTAGTAATACCAAAAAAAAAGACTATCTTAAACTTGCAATCATAATTATCCAGACATCTTCCACAGCTTGATAACTGTGCAACCCAAAAAGCAAGTAATGGAGGAGAGATTTCATATACTGCAATTTCCCATCATGATGAAGCAATGCTTAGTACCGATAAGGACTTGAAATTTGTTTGTATTACCATGCAGTATTTATTTGTTCTGTAAATCTTGAGTGCTAGGCTTATGCCAATTATAGTTGTTTCCATTTTAGTCTGTTTTGAATCTTGCACAAAATAGTAACATTTTTCCAAATGTAAATGACAAATTTCTTTTCCAAGGAACTATGCAACTGTTAGGACATGGTGGCTATGACACAGGACAGTGACCTAGAAGTGATGAATTGAAATTCTACTCCCAGCAAGTTTTGAGAAATTTAATTTGAATAAATCAGAAATTGTGAGCTACTGCCAGAGGACAAGATGTAAACTGCTGATTCTTGAAAATCCAGTGGTTCACCTAATGACCTTCAGGAAATAGCACTAGCCATCCCATCCTCACATGGTAGTCTTTTTAAAGTGATTCGGTAGACTATCCTGTGGTTGTGTAATTGTGGCTGTTCAGGAATAATATCCTTTTCTTTAATTTTAAGAAGAATTGGATATTTCAGATGGGACTATTGTGGCATTGTTCATTCAAGAACAAGATACAACATAAAGTTTGAATAATTTTATGTGATCATCTGCTTTTCCAGGCATCAGCAAATTCCTACATCTAGGAGATGATGATGCTTTGTCACATATCAAGTTAGGTTTTAATTTTTGTATTATTTAAATGCCCCATGAAAGTAAGTGACCAACTCTTTAACAATGATAATTCATCAGGAATCAATTTTTGGAATTGTGCTGCTAATCAGAAAATGACGAACATTTTTTTTTCAGTGTGTATTATGTCAATTGGCTAAAGTTGTGCTTGAGATAGACCTGATGGGAAAACTAAGTTGAAATAAGATCTTTGACTTTGCCCTCCCACAGTATTCTAATGAAGCTTATCATATGGAATAACACCTTTTTTGTTCAAATACAAAATCTTTTCACTTGGGCAGTCCATAGTATTGTTCTCAAACACTTGAGTTCACCAATTCCACGCCACTGCTTTGTGCTTTTTTTTTTGTGAATGATTCTGCTATTTCTAGTAGCACCACCCTAGGTGCATTTTTTTTTGTGTTCTTATTCCATCTATGTCATCTTGCACCAAATGTTTGTCTATTTTTGTCATTTTAATCTTGCGTTCCAATTTATCACAGACCTTGACTTTTTATTTGTTCTTTCATTTTTTTTCCTCTTTTTTTTTTTTTCCTCTTCACCCCCCTCAACTCTGCACTTGATAAAAATCTATACCGTCTAAATTTTGTTTTGTTCTGATTCTGATGAAAAGGTTGTGTTTTTTTTTGTGTGCCCTGTCCAGTATCTGCAGCATTTTGCTTTTCTAGACTATTTAGGGGATACATTGGGCTCTGTATGACGTGGCAGCCTTATTGACATGGTTCCCTCCAACCATGGGTCACATGGAAGAGGTTTGGTGTGACTATTTTTGCCTAACAATGCTGA